ATCAGTTCATGTCCACAAATGAAGAATGAAATTCACCATAGAATGGCACACTCGACTGAGTTGTGTTACACTGTTAGCCCCAAAGACAAAAGCAAAACTATAGCATAGGGCTTACTAGCAGAAGAAGGTTGATTGCATGGATTACCGGCAGCGAGCAGGAGCTGTAAGCTCAGATTGGCCTCCTCCATCAGTTGGTAGTGCAGTAATTTATAGGAAGAAAGAAGGGAAAGCTACATGTTGGTTGGACGGCAGGAGGGGGTGCTTGTTTGTCTTCCCCAGGGAGTTATGTTCTGGTGGGGGAGTTTGAGCTTGTGACATTGTTGACCAGATGACCTGGCTTCTTCTGTGCGTGTCCATTTTTGAAAAGTTGGTTCCAAACAGTAAGAATCATTAATGAAAAGGTTGGAGGCTTCCTGGAAAAAAATTAAAGAATTTATATTCGACTGTGTCCAGACCTGAGCTGATGTCAGTACCCAGCAGGTTAATACTGTCTACAGTAATTGATTTAATTAATTATAATCTCCATAAAATTAATTTTATATTTATATTTTTCTTATTTTGTGCTCATTGATATTTTAACATGTATCAGACTTCTAAAATGTAGAAAATTTCTAAATTCTATTTAAAATACTTTATGAGGATTTATTGACAGGTTTGAAAATAAAGTTTATTAAAATATAGTTCTCTTCTCTCAAAATCAGTGTTGTAAATTTATTTTCTTAAATTATTACTGTATGATCTCCAGCAGTCCCTGTGTTGTTTTGCTGTAACTGGTTACTGATGATTACATGGAGTCTCCACCAGAGTGCGCTACAGATATTTCAGTGGGAAAAGTTCATGCCTTCCACTTGCCTGGAGTTGTCATTCTTGGTGTTTTCTGTTTTGCTTTAAATTTTAAGAGAAGAATTTGACTTCTTGTTTACAAAGTTCCTTTTGCTATAAAATAAAGTCTGTACTTTGACAACTGAGTATTTCTACAGATTACTGCAGTGCTGGGGATGAAACCTAGCACCTCCTGCATGAGAGGCAAGGGCTCTTCCACGGAGCTACACCCACTGCCCTCTGCAAATTCTTTAAATGATGAATATTTAACCTCTCCATTCCTGGCTCTCAGTAACCATGCCAGCTAGAGAGATCTCCATCTTGTGAAGTTACCTTTAGACACTTAAAGTTGCATCTGCTTTACACAATAGGTGTTGATAGGTGTGTTTCTGAAAGCCTGAATAATTTAAATGACTGGAGAAACTAGTAATTTTTTATTGAGGCTGAAAAAATACCTTATAATTATTATACAGGCTTAAAAATAATATGCCAGGAAATAGATTTAATATTTGTGATTCTAATATGAAATATTCTCAAAGTATTATTAATTAGCTGTGGTAAATGTACCTTGTATTGCTACAGTTCAGTAACATGTGAAAGAAAGTTTTACTTCATTTATAGTTGATAAATTTCAAAGTGAACATTTATTAACTGATTATCTGACAAAGACACTGAATGATAACAACTCTCTTTTTTTCTCTCTTCCTGCCTTTCCCCACAGGTACCTTCACTCAAATAACATAGTTGTGGTTCCTGAAGGTGAGCACTCATAAATTTTTAGTTAGAAGATAGTATAGTTTAAGTTTCACTTTGTAAGTAGAACAGATTATCTTTTCAACCCTAGTTTCATTGATACATTAGGGAATTATAATTATGAAGAACTTTTCATGTGTAAGCTTCAAAACTTTTTCCCCACTAATAAGTTCAGTTGCTAATTATGAGTAAATAATATGTTCAAGTCCCAATACTGCAAAAATTTTTTTTAAAAAAGAAAGGTATTATGATTAAGTAAGTCTCAAATGGCTGTAATGGTTAGGTAAATTATTAGATAAATTGCTATTAGGTCAAAAAATAAAATAATTTCTAAGCTTAATAAATCCAGTTAAGAATTTTTGTTAGATAAAAAAAAGATCTTGTGTATTAATTATTTCTTATTTGTTTGACACAAGGTCTCCCTGTGCAGCCCAGGCTGGCCTCAAACTTGAGATCCTGCTGCCTCATCCTATTTAGCTCTATGATTACAGGCATGTGCCACAGCTTAATTCTTGAATTATGTATTTAGTCAAACAATTTTTACATTGTTTTAACATTTTCATTTGTTTTCTTTTTAAGTTATGAACATCTTATCTCAAGGTAGAAGTATTTCTAAAGCTTAGTTTGATTT